TGCCTCCTGTCTCTAGGATCAGTGAGTATAATAAAGTTTGGGTCTTTTTTTCTCCTGTGCCTCTCCTCTGTCTCCTCTTCTGGCTGCATCTGAGTGACCAACTCATTAAAAAAAAGTGCAAACACAAACTATACCATCAGCTGGAACATCTTTGAACCATGGGCTGCACTTCACTAAGGGAGTGGCGAGAGCCTACAGCCTGTTCAGCCTTTTCTGGAAAGACAGCTACTTCATGGAGTTGGCTGACCCCCTGGAATCCCACTCAGGCTTGATCTTGGATGTAATATTTCCATTTAATGATAGCACTTTGCTGAGCCTGTCCTATTTTATTAGTAGCATAAGTGAGTACTCACTTGAGGATGGACAGCTCAGGTCTTAAGGTCACATACAGGGCTTTGGTGGTCAGGAGCTCTGTTTCCATTAGGGCCAAAAGCCAGCTAGGGGTTGCCATTTGAAGGGGGTGTATCTGGCAGCTATCTTCAGTATTCACCAGTCCAAAACCCAAGGGGCCTATGTACCCAAGTAGCAGTCTCTTGTTGCCATAGGCTCCAATCCTCACAAGTAAATCGCCAAGATGTGGAGCTCCAGAGGGCTGGCAAGCACCATCGGTCCCAGTGACGGGGTCCATGCCAATGCATCTTGCACAGCCTCTAGAGTCTGCTGCTGTTGGGGATCCCATCCAAGGATGTCTGTCTTGTGAGTAACCATGACATAAGGGACCAGAAGAATACCCAGATGTGATACATGTTGCCTCTGATAGCCAAGAAGGCCTACCAGTTATGGAGGCTCTTTCTTGTTGGTGGGGGCTGCCAAGGACAGCAGTTTTCGGCTGACTTTATCAGGAATACTCCTCTGATTACTGGCCCAGGTGGCTCCCAGAAACTGCACTTTAGAGCAGGTCCCTGCATCTCATCAGTGTTGTCGGCCCTTTCTGCATGTCATAAGATCTACAACCTTATGTACAGACTGGTCAAGTTGTTTCTTGGTCAGGCCAGCAATGAGGACGTCAACACAGTGGATGAAAAGTAGTTCTGGGGATAACTGGGCTTGCTGCAGATCTAGGCCTACCACTGGCGGTGTACTGCAGGGGAATTGAGGTATTGCTATGGACTAAATTGTGTCCCTGCTAAATTAACATGTTGAAGCCCTAACCTCCAATTTTGACTGCATCTGAAGTCCTAAAACGAGAAATGAAGACAGATTGCAAAAGTGAGCTTATTCTTCAAGACAAAGGAAGAATAACCCTGAAGGTGATTCAGAGATGATCAGGGTTTACCACCTCGGTTTCAAACAGACCAGACAGCTTCCACAGAAGCCATGGGGGCAGAACCACCCAGAGCCTTGGGATAGACTCCCCTGGAGCTCTGACTCCATCTGAGCTCTGGATGCTCCCCAGAGCATCCAGAAGGTGGGACCATCACCCCGGTGGTCCTGGAGGGCAGAGGACCGACCAAAAAGTTATTCTTGAGCCTTAAGATCTCATGTAACTTGCTTTGCTAAGTTTTGGACTTGCTCAGGCCCTAGCACGCTTTCTTCCTTCTGATTTCTCCTTTTTGGAATTGGAATGTGTGAGATTACAATGATCTCTGCCCCCAGTTCCTGGCACAGAGCCCCTGAAACCCTTGTAATTTTCTAAGTCATAAGAGCTCTAGGAGCATCTTTTGTTCTAATATTCGGTCTTTGACCCTGGTTCTTGACACAGGAGTCCTGAAACCTTTGTAATTTCCTAAGTGATAGGACCATCTTTTATTCTAATAAAGCAACTCTGGGTGAGCTCCTGGATTAGAGCTGGTCACCAGAAAGACCACGCCATGATTCAGAGCTCGGAATTTTCAGCCCCCTTCCCCCAGTCCCGTTCTCCTGATAAGAGAGAAGGGCTGGGAATGGACTTAATGACTGACCATGCCTACACGACGAAGCCTCCATAATAATCCCAATAGAACCAGGTTCAGAGAGCTCCCCAGTGGGTGACACATCCTGACTCCACAGGGACAGAAGCTCTTGCGCTCAAGACCTTCCCAGACCTTCCCCTATGTATCTCTTCATCTGGCTATTCATATGTATCCTTTATCATATTCCTTTATAATAAACCGGTAAATGTAAGGAAACTGTTTTCCTGAGTTTTGTGAGCCACTCTAGCAAACTAAACCCAAAGAGGGGGCTGTTGGAACCTCTCATCTATAGCTGGTTGGTCAGTAACACAGGTGATAACTTGGGCTTGGAACTAGTATCTAAAGTTGGTGGGGGTGGGGTGGGGGGATGAGGTGTGTGTGAGTCTTATGAGACTAAGCCCTTAAGCTGTGCGATCTATTTCCACGTAGTGTCAGAATTGAGTTAAATAGGACACCCCGCTGGTGTTGCAGAGAATTAGAGTGGGGGAAGCCACCCACATATCTGGTGACCTCAAGTGTAAGAACTGAAACGTTCTGAGTAGCGAAGGTGACACAGGAGGGAAGAACTGCAGGTTTTTTCAACATACAATGTTGATCCTGTAACTGTCCCAGCACTGTATTTTTTGTGTTTTTTTTTTTGCGGTACGCGGGCCTCTCACTGTTGTGGCCTCTCCCGTTGTGGAGCACAGGCTCTGGACGCGCAGGCCCAGCGGCCATGGCCCACGGGTCCAGCCGCTCCGCAGCATGTGGGATCCTCCCGGACTGGGGCACGAACCCCGCGTCCCTTGCATTGGCAGGCGGACTCCCAAACACTGCGCCACCAGGGAAGTCCCCAGTACTGTATTTGAGAAGCACATAACCTGTCTGGTTTCACAGGTTCACAGCCGGAGAGGAACTCTGCCTCAGGATGAATCGTAGCTCAAATCTCACCCATATCTGATTTAGATGAGAATTTGTGGACTTCAGCCTTTCCACTAGGAGTGCTGACTTAAGACTTTGGGGCTGTTGGGATGGAATTAACTTATTTTGCAAATGAGAAGGACATGAATTTGGGGAAGCCGGACTCAGAATTTATGGACCAAATGTTTCCTTGAAATTCATATATTGAAGCCCTAATCCCCAGGGTGATGGTAGGTAGAGTTGGGCCTTTGGGAAGTAACTGGGGTTAGATTAGTTTATGTGGGTAGGGCATTCATGATGGAAGTAATGTCCTTATTAGAAGAGGAAGAGACAGAGAGCTGCTCTCTTTCTTTACAATGTGAGGCTATAGCAAGAAGGTGATGGCAGCCAAGACTCAAAGGATCCTTACCAGAACCTGACCATGTTGGCAACTTGATCTTGGACTTCCCAGCCTCCAGAACTGTAAGGAATAAATGTCTGTTGTTTAAGCCACCCAGTCTATGGTATTTTGTTATAGCAACCCAAACTAAGACAGCTGCTAAAGATATGTCCCTCCCAATCCCCTTCCTCCCAAAAAGGGATCAGGCCCAGTTATTTTTATGCTTCAAAGAATAATCCCCTCATTATGCAAACTCTTCCAGGTAATAAGAGAATAAAATAAAACTTCCAAATTCATTTTGCAAAGCAAATAGAATCTAGTTCTGTACTTAAAAGTTAAAATAAAATCACCACAAAAAAATGGATTTTATTCCAGGAACACAAGGAAATTTCATTTGGAAACTTGTCAGCAAAATCGATTCTGAAAAGAATGATAAAACCATAACATTACACCAACAGATTTTTAAAAGTCTGACAGAACTTAGCATCCATTCCTAATAAAAACTTAAGTATAATAATAATTTGCTATAGGGTATACTACATGCCAAGTATTGTTTCAAGTGCGTTACACTTACGAACTGATTTTATCCTCAAGGCCCTATGAGGTAGCTCCATTTTACACATGGAAGACAAAAGGAAGCAAAGCAACTTGCCCAGGATCACACACCTAAAGAAAGTGGTGGAGGCAGGATTTGAACCTAGGCTTCCAGGCACAAAATCTGTGCTCTTTACCACTATAACATATTGCTTCTTCTAAAAATAGGAATAGAAGAAAACTTCCCAAACAGAGTAGAATATTTATCACAAACAATGAGGGTGAACGCCATATAAAACTGTGAAATCCTAAAAAACCTTTCTCCTGAAAGTTAGGAACAAGACACTGAACGCCTGTTATTCACTATTCAACATTTTAAAAATATTTGTGCTCATGCACGACGTAAGTGGCATACAGATTAGAATTAAGAGAACACCAATCGTTACTTATTGTATACCTAGAAAAGCTAGGAAATGAAACTGAAAAACTCTTCAAAGCAAAACTAATCTAGCAAGGTAATTGGATCCAAGTAAAAATTTTTTAAAATCATTAATTATTAAAACACTAGCAATAACCAGTAGAAATTGAGGTGTGGCTTTTAAACGTAGCCTCTTTTCCTCCAACCAAGAGCCTGAGTGCTTTTCTAGCAAATAAGGATATTCACTGCTACTTAGCACCTAACCTGGACGGGTGGTGGTCAGCTAACAGGGTTATGAACAGTGCTGGACCCCTCCCTCCAGAGACTTAGTGTGGTACAGTATGAGCAGAACCAGAAGATAAAAAATTACAATACTCGACAGAGGGTTCTCTACTAAAGACATAACCAGTCATGTTGAAATCAGAGTAGAGGGCTGGACCCGTGTGTTCATATGGGGTTAGGCTCTCCCCTGGAATCTGGGAGCTTCCAAAGTAAAATATTTTTAAAAAGAAAGTCCTATCGGTTTAAAAAAAATGAAAATAAACACCAAAAATATAGCTATAACAGAAATTTAAAATATTCACAAGTGGCAAATTTCCAGTTCTGTCCTCGGTTCAGTAATTTTTTAGGCTCCTAATAAACACTCTAACATTTTCTGAGACGCCTCACCCAGAATCATATCTAATTCTTCCTTTCTTTTTTTTTTTTTTTTTGCGGTACATGGGCCTCTCACTGTTGTGGCCTCTCCCGTTGCGGAGCACAGGCTCCGGACGCGCAGGCTCAGCGGCCATGGCTCACGGGCCCAGCCGCTCTACGGCATGTGGGATCTTCCCGGACCGGGGCACAAATCCGTGTCCCCTGCATTGGCAGGCGGACTCTCAACCACTGCACCACCGGGGAAGCCCCTAATTCTTATTTTCTTGAGACTCAACTCTCTTCCCCTTCTTCTCCACTGTCTCGGAGACATAAATCACAGCTCACAAAAATCTCTCTCCTCTAGGTTATGTGCCTGACATTGCCCCTCTAACCTCCTCCTCCTCTGCCACACTGCTGATCCTGTCATATTGCTAAGAGGAAGAGGGTAGCTACCAGGGGCAAAGATCCCCTAGCATTGAGGCCCTACTACAAGGATGGAAAGAAAAACTTGTGTCTGATACATGACTGTAGAAGAGGAAATCCCCTGAAGAGATTTTCTTATGCCTTTGAGGTATGAAAGGTGGCCCAGAAGATAATCACAATAATTAAGCGTACACCTCTCACCTAAAAATCAGATGACAGTTGCAGGCATCTAGAACTAGTTGGTAAGGAAATCAGAATGGTGTGACTCTATTATCTTGTCACAAACTTCATTACTGTTCATTCCAATCATCCAAGAATGCTAGGAACTGAAATTGCCATGGAAGTTGAGTCTTCTTTGCAGTAAACTTTGATGCTGTTCTTGTACTTAGACAGCAGGGTGGAGAAAGCTAGTACAGAACCGGAGTCTGTGTTCATGGCAAAGTACATTATCACTGGAACATGACAGCTGCCTCCAATACCTAGATACATACATATACACACACACCTGCACACACTCAAACACAAATCCATTAACTCTCTGAGGCTGAGGTAACAGTAGTAAGACTCTAAAGGACACAAGGAGAAGATATGAATGAGGCCTTTGTATTTGATATCCTATGATACCCATCTTTAGAAATTTTAGGTCTGGTGGTGAAAGGGGAGTTCATGCCCACTTTAAGCATGGTTCAGTTGGAGAGGCGAGTTTTTAAAAGCTATTTAACAACTAGAATATGCAAAGTATTATCTATATGCTAAAAGAAATAGATACTATACCCAACCTGAAAGCCTACATGAAGTTAGTATAAAAGGACACAAAGGGGCATTAGGTTGAGAATTGACAAGGCAATTATATAACAATTGCAAATTAGCCTCTTACAGCACAGGTTAATTCAAAACACTGAGGTCAATCAACAGGTTAGGAGGAAAAAAGGAGCATTTTAAGAAGAAAGTCCTTCAGAGATGACCTAGATCTTAAAGGTTCAAGGGACACAGATTGGTCAACAGGAAGAAAAGCTTTTCTAGGTAGAGAACACAAGTGATGAGAGTCTAGATTAAAGTAGTTTTAAAAGGGCCACATTCAAGAGGTAGAAAGTATGACTCAGAGTCTTGGAGAATGACTTTATATAAATGATAAAATGGAGGAGGTGGAATAGAATAAGGAAATATCTCTTTCCTTAAGAATATAATTGTGGGATAAATAATTAAGAAACAAGATAGATTTTAATTTTTTTAAAAAGTGAAAGAAGGGAATTCACTGGTGGTCCACTGGTTAGGACTCCTTGCTTTCACTGCTGAGGGTGTGGGTTTGATCCCTGGTCGGGAAAGCTCCCCCGCAAGCCGCATGGCGTGGCCAAAAAAAAAAGGTGAAAAAAAGGAAACCTACAAGCACATGAAATGTGTAGTCCTTAGTAGGGAAGGATGGTACTGTTACTCCCACTCTCCCACCTTCCTGACCACCAGAGAGCATTTAGGGAATAATCCACTTTGATTAGTGGTTCCAAGAGGAGACCAGGGTGAGCATACTTCTTCTATAGAAACCTCAACTCAGAGTTCCTTGCTGTCTTAGAGAATCACATCTTAAAAAACAGACCGAGCCAGACCTGACTGCTTTTCTCCAGTGTGAGTTCGCTGGTGGTGATTGAAAGTAGAACGTTGACTGAAGGCTTTCCCACATTCAATACATTCATAGGGTTTCTCTCCAGTATGAACTCTTTGGTGCACAGTGAGTTGTGAGCTGTCACGAAAAGCTTTCTCACAATCTTTGCATTTATATGGTTTCTCCCCAGTATGGGTTCTCTGATGTACCATAAGGCTAGAATTATGACTGAAGACCTTCCCACATTCATTACACTCATAAGGTTTCTCACCAGTGTGAATTCTCTGATGAATAATGAGGTATGAGTTTTGATTGAAGGATTTTCCACACTCATTGCATTTATAGGGCTTTTCACCCGTGTGAAGTCTCTGATGTCGAATGAGACATTTACTCAGACTGAATGCCTTACCACATTCATTACATTCAAAGGGTTTTTCTCCAGTATGAATTCGCTCATGGTCAGCAAGTTGAGAGATCTGATTAAAGGCTTTCCTACACTCACTGCATTTGAATGGTTTTTCCCCAGTGTGGAGGCTCTGATGTCGAATAAGACATTTACTTCGACTGAAGGCCTTGCCACATTCATTACATTCATAAGGCTTCTCCCCAGTGTGGATTCTCTGATGGTCAATAAGATTTCTGTTAGAACAGAAAGCTTTCCCACACTCATTACACTTGTAAGGTTTCTCACCAGTGTGAAGTACCTGATGGCGGACAAGGCTTTTACTCCGACTAAAGACTGCTCCACATTCATTGCATCCATATGGTTTCTCCCCAGTATGAGTTCTCTGATGGTCAAAGAGTTTGGAACTCTCATTGAAAGCTTTTCCACATTCAATACATTTATACGGTTTCTCCCCAGTATGGAGTCTCTGGTGTTGAATGAGATGGGAGCTGTGGCGATAGGTCTTACCACAGTCACTGCATTCATAGGGCTTTTCCCCTGTGTGGATTCTGAGATGGACTATAAGCTGAGAGGTTTGCCTGAAGGTCTTGCCACACTCATTGCACTCATAGGGTTTCTCCCCAGTGTGGATTCTCTGATGCCCAATGAGGTGAGAACTCCAATTAAAAGCTTTGCCACATTCATCACATCGATAGAATTTCTGCCCCTTCAGAACTCCTTGATGTTCTGCAGGACTGGAAGACAGGTCTGGATGTCCCCCAAGTTCCTTATATTCATCACACCCATCTTTTGTGGATTTATTTTTATCTTCCTGTGTTATTTCCAAGAAATCCCTTTCCAGTCTGGCCCCTTCTTCACCTGAGGGTTGAACTTCTAGCTTCTCTAAAGCCTCTTCACAGGTATCTCCAGCTTCTGGTCCTCCTGGAATCATTCCACAGAGTACTACTGAGGTCCTATCAGATGACTTCAAAACTTTAGAAAGTTCCTGCTTTGGAGGCAACTCTGAACTCTCCATCCTGTTCTCACCTGCTGCCAAAAGAAAGAAGAAAACAACTTTCACTCATTTCTTGTCCTACTGAAGAAAGAGAATCATCAGGAGTCTATGTACTTGAAAAAACTTCACATTCCACGTAAGGAATGAGGAGACACATTAAGAACAGGAGAGGGCTTCCCTGGTGGCCGATGCAGGGGATGCGGGTTCATGCCCCGGTCCGGGAAGATCCCACATGCCGCGGAGCGGCTGGGCCCATGAGCCATGGCCATTGAGCCTGCGTGTCCGGAGCCTGTGCTCCGCAACGGGAGAGGCCACAACAGTGAGAGGCCCGTGTACCACAAAAGTAAATAAATAACAGGAGAGAAAATGGGAAATGGCTCAAATTTTTCTTCATGGACAGAAAAACAAAGGAGGGAAGCTGGTCAGTGGAGGAGGGCGGAAGAACAGCCCTCAGGACAGAGGGATGCTGAGCCAGCACAGCCAGGTGAATAGGCCAGTTGAAAGGCAAGAGACCAGACTGTAAAGCATAGTGTGATCTTCCAGAAGTCACTTAGATGTGATGTCTCCTTAATAAAATGAGGAACCCTAAGGTCCTTTCCAACCATGACATTGTATGGTTCCACAGTTCTCAGCAAAGATGTTGGGGAGAGAGAGTGGTGGCAAATACCTCAAAACAAATATGAGAAACAATGTGGGCAAACCTGAGAGTAGAAAGCAAATTTATATTATGAGGATGTGATTAGGAAAAAGTGTACATAAAGAAGTGATTCTGGTATAACAGGATACTGACAAGATTTGGAGAAGCCATGGGTAGAGAAATACTGGGGAAAAGTATTGAAGGGGAAAGCAAAGCTGTAAAATTGGGTACCCCCTAGTCCCTGGAGCACTGGACTGGTAGGTGTCAGTAGGCACTCCTATAAAAATTAATTTTTATAATTTGAAACGTAAATCAAAATACATGTTTTGTATCTTGATAATCTGGAGTCATAATGAGACTGACCAGCTGAGTATCTGCTTTTGAATTCTAGAATTTTTGAATACAAAAGTTGGGAGAAGGCAGAGCAATCACGGTCATACCTAAACACAGAAATATTGGCTCCTTTCAATCACATCTTAACCAAGGTCGCAAGCCATCATACCACCTTAGCATATGGAAAGTTAAAGATATTTGGTTCATTGATTCTAAGCTCACCCTCTCCAAAGTAGGCTACTGCCCTAGACCGGTCAACCCCAGAACCTGCCCTGACAACAGCCCCTTCCAGGAAGCAGCCCTACCCGTCTTTCTGAAGGGGAAGCTGAGGCAACCATGCTTTGTGCCAAGCAACCCAGCTCAGCCCATGATGGACAACAGGTGACTGGAACAGGGCCAAGCACTAGACCCCAGTGTAGCTTATCTGTAGATTAGTCATCAGCCTCTGCGTGGCCTGGGCCAAAGTACTGCTCAAACAAAGTTGATATTTAATGGCTGAACCATCCTTGGAGTCCCTTTTTACATAAATTCTAAACAGAAGGATGGAAAAACTAAGGAAATTACAAGAGCTCAAGCTGAAATGATGCATGGAGAGAAGGCAACCATCAGGAGCCACAGCAAGCAGAACATAGGAGGAAACAGAAAGTCTAATTAAGAAGGAGCTCGGAGGGGGAAAAAAGATTCAGAGTAAATAAGGAGAATAGGTATCAGTGGGAGGAGCAAACGGATACGCAGGGCACAGCTGTCTTACGACACTGGTGTAAAAATCCTTTCACTTCCACTGCTGAGGTTCCCAGGTCCCCACAAGGCTTCGTTTCCCGAAGTCTGGTCTAGCTGGTCAGTCTGTTCAGGGCTTCCATTCCTTTAGTCTTACTGTAAGTAACTTAGCTCATCACTTACAATAACTGAATGGCACTCTACTCCTTCCAACTACAAACTCTAATAAACTGGCCCAGCTCAGTTAATAATAAGGAGAATGTTAATAACTATTAAAGTGAGTGATGATGGAGAGGGGTTCATTATATTATTCTCTCCCTTTGTCTTTTTATATTTTCATAATAAAAAGTTAAAAAAGAAAATGAATATACCAAAGAAAGTGTAAAGAAGACAGACTCTAAGTACCGGGGAACAGAGTCATTACCCAGTGAAGCCAGGCTGCAGCAATTTTCCAGCATGATGTTCCAGTACAGGGCTCTCTGGCTGAGTGCCAGACCTTTCCACTTTTGCTGAGTATAGTCCACAGACAGGAACTCGAACACTGCAGCCTCCTGGAATGACATGTTTCTAATGCTCAGGGACATTCCCAGTCTGAGGGGCAGAGTCATTAGGGGCACTGAGAGCACAGGGTCAGGGCCCTGGTGGCAAAAGAGGTGGGGGGAGGGTGGGAAGCTGAAAGGACACATTAATAAAAGGAGAAGTCCAGGGCAAGATACAGTCAATGAACTCAGTGGATGGAAGCAGCTCCAGGGGAAGCAGTTAGGCGGGGAAACGACAGGAGCAGACTCAGAATGGGCCAGAGGCCCGGAGATGAGCTCTAGCTATTCCTGGGCCACAGACTTGGAACTCAGGAAGCTCACCTGGGGCCTGACCATCCGGAGCACAGTTGCCGCTGCTTGGTCTCCTACGTTCCCCACTTGGGGAAGGGCAGGCACTGGGGAAGCATGCTGAGCTGAGGGAGGAAAGAAAGCTCTGAGTGGGACCAGCCCTGCTCTTGGCTCCAATGAGGTCTGTATCCCAGCAAGTGGATTCAGGAGAACCCAGGTGGCTCCACACACACGGACCCTCATCCCTGTTCCATAAAGGCATTATCCTTTGTGAGCTGTGAACTTTTCCTGGAGGCAAGAAGGTCCCTGTTCAAACCAAACTGGCGGTTCCTTCCAGCCCTCTCTCTCCCACTCTCGGAAGGAAGCTACACTTCTGACCACCTTCTCTCCCATGGCTTCCCCAACAGCAGCCTGCCTGGCCTCCCCCTCACCTCTCTGCCCCTCATTCCCTGGCTTCTCTTCCTTCACCTGCCCTCTCATCACGGACACTGTAGGCGTTCAGGTCTCAGAGGTTCTCCTTTCCGTCTCTCAGAAGTCTCATTTTCTAATGCTGCTCTCACAGTTCCTTGTTCTCTCCTCCACATCTAACACAAGCTCTGATTGCCTACTGAACATTTCACCTGGTGTTCCACAGTAGCATAAACTCAGTGTCAAAAACACACCTTCTTACTATCTTCATTTCCTATCTTCCCACGTTTTGTTAATGATTCCAGACATTAGTCAAAACCTTTAATTTACACTCTTTTATTTAAACCCACATCTAACAGATATTCCCCAAATTGATATTCAGATTCAACACAATCCCTTTCAGAAACCCAGTTGGTTCCTTTGCAGAAATTGACAAGCTGATAATAAAATTCACTGAAAATTCAAGAGTTCCAGTACAAGGCAAAAGAAACTTGAAGAATAAAAATAAGCTGAGGGAATTTCCTGGCGGTCCAGTGGTTAGGACTTGGCACTTTCACTGCCATGGCCTGGGTTCAATCCCTGGTCAGAGAAATAAGATCCCACAAGCTGCACAGCACAGCCCCCCCCCCAAAAAGTTGAAGGATTCACACTTCACAATTTCAAAACATTTGACAAAGCAGCACTCATCAAGACAGTGTGATACTGGCATAAGGATAGACATATATCAGTGAAATAGATTAAGAGTCCATAAGTAAACCGATACATCTACAGTCAACATATTTTTGACAGAAGTCCCAAGACCACTTAAAGGTGAAAGAAACTTTTCAACAAATGGTGCTGGGACAACTGGATGTACTCATACAAAAGAATGAAGTTAGACCCGTACCTCAGACTATATATGAAAATTATATGGACAGCAGGCCTTGGCACCTGTTGCAAACTGGCCCCACTGCTCTGTGTACCAAATCACAGATGATGGCTAGCTTTCCCTGAGGGCATGGAACCCTCTGTCTCCCACCATGATTAAGCAAATTTTTAAAAAAATCACTACCTTCATCCACGATTAAAACAGAGGCCATCATCTCCTATATTTGCTACAAACCAATACCTAGGCAATGTCTCCTGGACTCAGTGAGCACTGCTAGGACTGACAAAATAGAGACAACCGTAAACTGAGATGGGAAGAAGGCTCACACCAGAAAGCCTGTCATCACTCGGATAAAAGAAACTGCAGTGCTGCTACAAGGGGATGGAGAATCAATTGAAGAACTACTTTGGAAGCTGCTGAAGTTCTGGCAGAGAAATGAAACTTTGCTGTGAAAGAAGGGGGTCGGGTAAGGAAAATAATACACAGAGAAAACAAAAGCAAAGGAAAACTGAGAAGTGATAAGGTACATAACTGAAGGCCTATAAAAAGAGACTTGAAGACACAACAAGGGGAGGCTGAAGAGGAAAGGTGCCTCCGGAGCGGCAGGGGCAGGATCCAGCCTTGCTGAGCCGCAGCAGCACCAACGGGAGCTGCTCAGGAGGGAGCTGAGAGTCAGAGAAAGAGGCGAGAGACTTTCCCAGCCAAACCTGCAGAAAGACTGGGGAAGAGAAAGACACTCAGGTGCAGAGAAATCCGGGAGTGAGACGCAACAGAACGAACTGGAGACCAGAGAGAAATATTTTGAAGCAACGCACCCAGCGGGAAATGTAAATGGCACTGACCTATCTCAGGAAATTGAGACCCACAGGGAAATCAGCACCAAACATAAGCCTCCAAGCTGACCTGTCCTGAAGCAGCTGCTGCAGAAATGTCCGAAGAGGTCAGTGAAGTATTTGTAAAGAGGTGATGAGAAGATGGACCAACAGAAAAATGAGGGCAACTGCCTGTGAATATGGCGAAAGATTCCAGCCCTCTGAGCCCAGCCCCTGCAACCATGAACATGGATAAAAGTCAGTGACTTCCTGGGACTTCCCCGGTGGTCCAGTGTTAAAGAATCCGCCTTCCAATGCAGGGGACGATGGTTCAATCCCTGGTCAAGGAACTAAGATCTCACATGCCGCGGGGCAACTAAGCCCGCATGTCACAACTAGAGAGCCCACGCGCCATGCAGCCCGAGTGCCACAACCAGAGAGAAGCCCGTGCACCACAATTCCTACATGCTGAGACAAAGATCCCACATGTTGCAACTAAGACCCGACACAACTAAAAAAAATTAAAAAAAAAAAAAAGAAAATCATTCCTTTAAAAAAAAAGTTAATGACCTCTTGGGCTTTTCGAAGTCTGAATGAAAGCCCCACAGCATAGTAAAGAGATGGGGCCAGTGAGCTGAAACTGCCCAATTAAATTCAGGTATCCTAATGCCTCAGGGTTCCTTCCAGGTCCCAACTAGCTTCTGAGGACAGAAGAAAAGCTTCATTCATCAACTTGTTAAGATTATACCACAAATGGGAGCCCCCAGGCCTGGGGAGCAACCTGAGATGGAGCAGGCCTCTTCTCCCCCAGAGCTTCATCCCTCTGCCCAGTTTCATTCCCAAATGAAAATGGCTTTCAAAAGAACAGGGGAAGGGCTTCCCTGCTGGCTCAGTGGTTGAGAGTCCGCCTGCCGATGCAGGGGACATGGGTTCGTGCCCTGGTCCGGGAGGATCCCACATGCCGCGGACCGGCTGGGCCCGTGAGCCATGGCCACTGGGTCTGCGCATCCGGGGCCTGTGCTGCACAACGGGAGAGGCCACAACAGTGAGAGGCCCGCGTAAAGAACAGGGGAAATCCCAAGCAATCGTGTGGGCATTTTTCAGGGACATTTTCTTCTTTCTGTCATTTTGCTTTATCATCTTATATGCAATGTAATTTTGATTTCCTTTTAAAATCCTCAGTAAGTAGTCTCTTGTTCTCATGTTTTTCCTGCCCAGTGAGAGTGTACATAAGGTTTACTTTATACACTGATAGTAAGCCAATAAGTTTCTAAGGCAATTGCCCCTAAAGAAAGATTGCTTCTACGAAATAATGCCATTTGCAGCAACATGGATGCAACTAGAGATTATCATACTAAGTCAAGTAAGTCAGAAAGAGAAAGACAAACACCATATGATATCACTTATAGGTGGAATCTAATATATGGCACAAATGAACCTATCTACAAACAGAAACAGACTCAGAGACATAGAGAGCAGGCTTGTGGTTGCCAAGGGGGAGGGGGCTGGGGAAGGGAAGGACTGGGAGTTTGGGATTAGCAGATGTAAACGATTATATATAGGATGGATAAACAACAAGGTCCCACTGTAGAGCAGAGGGAAATATATTCAACATCCTGTGATGAACCATAATGGAAAAGAATATTTTAAAAGAGAAGTCTACATGTGTTTAACTGAGTCACTCTGCTGTACAGCAGAGATTGCTGCAACACTGTAAATCAATTATACTTCAATTAAAAAAATTTTTTTAAAAGAAAGATTGCTTCTAGTACACATTTAAAATGTTAAAATAATATTTATACCAATTTGCCAATTAAAAAATGAGCTCAACCTACTGCCCAAAATTTGGTTTCTAAGTACCACTCTACAATGAATGAAACCAGGAATCCTTGCAGAAATGGTTGATTCCAGGGCTGGGGGAGGTAAAAATACAAGATGAGTAACTTGTGGTGCCTGAAAATCAGAGAAAGACACACAACAGGATGGAAGCATGTAAGGGGAAACAGAAGACAACTTGAAAGAGCTCCCAATGGCCAAAATCAGAATAACTTAAGCCACAAAATAAATAACAATACATGCAATAAACCCCCCAAATAAACACTGAACATCACACACTGATGTAACTGATATAATTAAGTAAATAAACGAAAGGGAGAAAAGGCACAACTATTCCTCACAAAGAATTCCAGTTAATAAATGTAGAAGAAAAAACAGAAATGAAAGGCACCTAGAAGAACATCACAATAATAACTGCTACAGACAAGATCCACCAAGAAATGCTAATTAGTGGCTGAAAGTTGAGGAGAAAGGATATTTCTATGCAAAGTCTCAAAATGTCTTCCTCAAAATAATTACTAATTACAAAGGAAAGACAGCAACTTTACAGTGATGAAACTTGGCAGAAATACTGGATCAAAAGTAGTATCACTAGTAAGAAGACATATCGACATCATCCTCAATCTAAACAGGGGAACATCTGACAACCAAATCGAGAGGGTCATTCTAAAATTACAAATATAAAATACTTCAAAAGTGTCAAGATCGTGCAAAACAAGTAAAACTGAGGAACTGTCACAGACTGAAGGAGAACAAGAAGACATGACAATTAAATGGAATGAGGGATTCTAGATTAGATCCTGGAACAGAAAAAGAACATTAGTGAGACAGTGATGAACCCTAAATAAATCAGCAGTTTAATTAACAGTATTGGACCCCTGTAAATTTCTTAAGTTTGATGACTATACTATGGTTATGCAAGATACTACCTTTAGGTAAAACAGGTAAAGATATAAGGGAAATCTGTAAAGTTCGGACACCCTCTGTGAGTCTACAATTAGTCAAAATAAAAAGTTGGTGTTTTTTTTTTTGGCCACACCATGCAACATGCAGGATCTTAGTTCCCTGTCCAGGGATTGAACCCATGCCCCCCGCATTGGAGCACTGAGTCTTAATCACTGGACCACCAGGGAAGTCCCAAAATAAAAAGGTTTTTAAACTGAAGAAGTCTGAGTTGTTACTGTGTTTATTTCTATCTAGAAATATTAATGTCTAGATATTATGGATTAACTTGGCAATAAGGGCACTGAATACTGTCAGTGCTTATCATCTCCAATTTGTATTCTCTTTCATTAATTTAACAAATATTTACTGAGCACCTACTATGTCCTAGGCACTAAGGTCTCTGCAGTGAATAAAGCAGACAAAAAGCACGGCCTTGAGTAGCTTATGAGAAGACAATGAAATAAAGACAGCAACAGGTCTTACATAGTATAATAAAACAAGGAAGGAGGATAAGAGGCCTAAAATCAGGGAAGAAAAAGTATAAGCTCAAAAATTCAGTCTAGAGCACATGATGACTCACCTAAGGGACCTCTTTCAGACAGTTTCTGATATTAAAAATACTGAAGATTGCAAAGTAAAATGACTTATATGTTATTACATTTTCTGTATTTTTTCTCTGGAGAATGACAGCATAGAATGCTCATGCACTAATACTTCCTGGATACCAGAGCCACAGAAAACTTAACCTTGGCATAGCTACTATTTTTCATGTTTTTGTCAGTTTCCCTTCCTTATAAGTACATATAGAGGTTTATCTTCAAAACAATCCCATCTTTTTGGCTTATTTTTAAACCAAAATTTGTCTGCCTTTCTTCAGCATTGAGAACATGCAAGAGCAGCCTCATCTGTCAGTCCCTGAAAATGCACACATATACACATGAGTATAACAAATGGAAACTCCCTGAAATCCCTAAGCAAATTACTTCCTTGCAAAATAAGCGACCTAACATTAAGGCGTTTTCAGTTTGGAAGTGAGACAGGCTGGGACCTGGGA